GCACCTTTAAAAGCACCTGGAGTCGGCCAAAGTGTCGAACGTGCCCCCATAGTGAGGATGAAGGTGTAGAGATGATGGATGGATGTCTCTGAGGACTCAAGGTTTCGTTATATTTAGTTTTTTTTCACTGGTTTGTCTCTTTTTAGGATTGTTTCATCCATTCATGTCCATGTTTTCTTTTGTTCTCTGTTTATTTCTGTGTCTCTTTGCGTCCTTCAGTGATGCTCTGTCTCCGTGTCCGTGGTTCGTCTTCATCCGGTCCACGCTTTACCGTCTCTTTCTGCTCTATTTGCAGCTGTTCCATGTCGTATTGCAGCTCTCTGATTTAGTCGATCTGCTGTTGCTTCGGTTTGTCTTTATGTTTTTGTATCGAGCTCAAACTGTTAATCAGTGAATCAGTTCAGTTCAATCTGTCATTCAATCAGTCAGCTACTGAACTAATCTCCATCTGATCACTGCTGAATCAGTTTGAGTCACTTTTTATTAGAATCAGTCTGAACTCTCTGGTTTCAGCTCCTTTGATGAATGTTTTCTGGTTTCTGTCCTCTGTGACACTAAACTGAACATCTTTGGACTAAACCAGACGTTTGAGGAAACTCTGACCACGTTTGAACATTTTAGAGACAAACATCCAACTTAATGCTCAAATAGATCTTTTTTAAATGTTAACCTGCAAAGTGACGTGTAGTATAACCGTCAGATAGATGTGATATAAGTGATAGTTCTCTTCTTAAATGTAGGAAGACAGGCGCCTCCACACTCTGCATCGTGTCTGAGTAAATGTTTTCACACCTCAGCCAGACGGCGGAAGTCCTACATACAGAGAATGAATGCAAGCTCAGCTGGAAACTGAAGCTGAAGGCAGCAAACCGCTCCAAAACAAACCACCGAAGCTTCGGGTTCAATTTCAGGTTCAGGAGGCCACAGGGTGTCAGTACTCAGTTACTCTGAGAGTACTGAGTAACTCTGAGTACTCCTGCAGGCAGCGGTCTCACCTGCAGGCAGCCGGCCTCCAGCCTCAGCGGGTCGAACGGTTTCCCGGACCTCCTGACCTCCTGCAGCAGCGGGTAGATGACCTCCTGCCAGAAGAGCTGGTGGGCATCGAGGACGGAGGGCAGGTTGGAGAACAGCAGCTCGGGGCTCACCTGAGGAGCAGCAGAACAAAGAGAACGCTGAGAGTGTCCGTCTGCTCAGAGCGAAGGTGCTGGTTCAGGGGTCCAGACTGACCTCCAGCAGGAAGCCTTTGTGCTGCAGCTTCTCCAGAGCAGCCATGACCAGCTGAGGACAGAAACACCATCAGAACGCTGCACAAACACACGTTAAACGTTATTAACATGGAGAAACATCTCACATCTCTGATGATGATCAGCTTGTTGATGTAGGTGAGCTCAGTGTGGACGAACTCCCACAGCGCCTCCTGCTGGTGTCTCTGCATCTTAGACATGGTCTGAAGGAGACCAAGAAATGATTCACATGTGCAACAATAAGGTTCTCCTTAACAAATCCCACAAAGGAACAAAGTCCTGTCGTTTGTAATAAGGATGGAAATCTTTAAAAAATTAATGAAATTTCCTTCAAAACATGAAAGTTTCCTGAAAGTGTCTCACGTCAAAGTTACTCCAGATATTTGTTGAGTTATTTTTAGCTGCAGGACTCAGAATAAACGTTCATGTTCAACCCTCTGGACTCTGAGCAGGTTCTNCAGATGTTCTCACCTGCTCCTCTTGTCGTCCTCATCTCCGTCCACCAGCTGCTCCTTCCAGCCTTTGCTGACGGTTAAAGCTCGGTGTCTCTGCAGCTCCACCTCCTCCCACTCGGTGTCTCGGTCTCCATCGCTCGGCGGAGGAGAAGGTGTGGTGGAGAAGGAGGGTGATGGAGGAGGATACCTGGACCTGGGATGAAGCATCTTGACGTTCCTGCCCCTCTTGATTGCCCCGCGGTCCCGGCCCCGCTCCCTGGCCCGCTCCAGGAGCCCCTCCAGAGGCGAGGCCTGCTGGCTGCGGTCGTATCCTGGACTAGAAGCTCTGTCTTGTGGGCGCTGAGCAGCGAACAGGCTGCTGGAGGGCTGACGGAGGCCTCCCTCCATGATGATGTTGGGGATGGACGCGCTCCTCTGGGTTTTCATTTTGGGCCTCTTGGTCTGGACGTTGAGATCCGGCAGCTCCGGTTCAGAGTATATTTGGAGATCAGCAGAGGTTCTGTCAGTCATGTTCCAGAACATCCCCTGGTTGGGCTTCAGGGAGCCCAGCTTCAGAACCCGGAGTGTCTCTGAGCTGCTGGAGGGCAGAGAGTTCCTCTTCATGTTCAGGTTGGAGTCTGAGTCCGAGTTAGAGGATGGGTAGCTGTTGGAGGCGGTCCAGGTCTGTCTCTGGACAAACCGATTGGACGCCTGAGCTGAGGGACCTTGACCGGCGTTGACCGGCCTCCTCCTCCGCAACCCTGGAGACCGAAGGTTCTTGGAGAAGCTCCAGGCGTCTGGAGATGATTCCACGTCTCCAGACTGGCTGCAGTTGGAGTTCCTCCTGGTGTTCTGGTTCCCAGAGGGAGAACCTGGGTCCCTCCTGATGGATGATCCAGGATTCGCCTCCCTGGAAGCTGCCAGCTGGTGGGGAGGCTGCAAAGTGTTTTCATCTGTTGGATAGTCCACATCTGGAAGTTCTCCGACCAGCAGCTGGTATGTTCCAGTCGTGTTGTGCTTCACTGGATGTGCAGCGGTTCTGCGGGTGAAATGGTTCAGGCTCGGTGCAGATTGGACTCTGTGGTGCCAGGTCACGTTTGGCTGATTTGTCAGCTGAGATTCAACAAGTTGTCCTTCGTCCTCTCTGTGGTTCCTCTGCTCTCCTCTCACTCCCATCTCTATCCACTCGTACCGTCTGACGCTGGCCTGTCGACCCGATATGCTCTTTTGTTCTGCTTTCCGGAGACTGTTTCTGAGCTGGGAGTGCCAGAACGGTGCTCCGGTGTCATTAGAGGAAGCCTCGTCTGGAGGTTCTGTCTCTACAGACCCGTTCAATGATGGCGTGATCAGTTCATCAGTAAACTTCTTCACAAACGTTCCTGCTGCTGGACGTCTGACGGGTTCTTCTTCTGTCTCCATGTCGTCTGTCTTCGGTTCTGCAACAGGTTTGGACTCTGGTTGGTGTGTTTTCAGGTTCTCCAACCTGTTGTTCTCCGTCTGTCTCAGGTTCCTCAGAGTTACCTGGACACAGAACACAGAGATTAAAAAGCTCTCAACCACTGTACAGTTCTGGAATTATAACGACCCATCTGACAGAAACTCGTTTGATTCTCAGATCTGCGACCGAACCAGAGCTCAGAACCAGCATTCATCCAGAACCTTTTCTGGGTGTAAACTGGACCTTTCTCTGACTGAGTTTTCTTCATTTTAGAGCTGCAGCTTCGGACTATTTCCACTGTGGATTGTTTTCTGGATGGATCTATCAGCTGTTTGCTTCTAAAACATCACTGAGTTTCCTCCAACGTCTTGTTTAGTCTGAAGATGTTCAGTTTACTGTCACAGAGGACAGAAACCACAGTTCAGACTGATTCTATTTTATTACTCAAACTGATAATTGATTACAAAAATGATGATTAGCTGAAAATGAACTGAATGATCAGTGCAGCTCTTAAAAGTATTAACATGAGAAAATACACAGAACCTCCAGTAGAAGTTCTCGTGATGCTGCATGACGTCCTCGTGTACGTATCGGGTCATCTGCTGTACTTCCTGTGGTTCTTCATGTTGCAGAAAACCTAAACAGGATCCTGTTGGGCTTTCCAGTCTGGACCTGAGACTGAAGCTGCTGAGAGTGGAACCCGACCAGAACATCTCTAGGGGTAGTTTGTACCTTTGCCTGGTGGATGGAGGAGACCCAGGTGGAGCAGCTGTCTGAGGTGCTGGAGACCAGGATGAGGACGTTCATGGCACTCTGGAGCTCACCGACCTCCACCAGAACAAAAGAATCTAACAGAACCAGAGGAACCGTTGTTACCTGTTCAGACTGAATGAAGGGTTCTACAAGTGGTCTATAGGAAGGTTCTGCTCACAGCCGTCTTTCAGAGCGATGCAGCTGGTTCTGTCCAGGGCCACCGGAGGCCGGACCATCTTCAGACGCTCCCCTTTCTTCTGCACTTTGGTCAGCAGCAGAACATCGGAGAACAGCAGAGCCACGACCTCGAGCTGAGCCCAAAGAGCGAGAAAACAGTCAGACGTGAACTTCAGCAGACGGTCGATGTGCAGCACCAGCAACTCTGCTCACTTTACTGTCCTTCCTGCCGCGGACCCTCAGGTTCTCCTCCAGCAGCAGCTTCCGGACCACGCCAGGACCGGCGCCTCTGATGGGACAGGTGAGGTCGAACCTGCACAGCTCTCTGACGTGCTGACGGCAAACACAGCACAGGAAGCATCAGCTCAGCAGGTACGACACGACACGACACGACACGACACGACATGACATGACTCGACACGACACGACACG